ACGTTTAGCAAACAAAATACGTGTAAGGCTCCAGATGACCAAATTTCAGTTCTAGTTCGCTAGTACTAGACGGGATCATTGAAATTGAACTCAAAGATGCACTCGTGGGGTGAGGTGACTAAGCCACGTCTTACTACGTTTGCTCACGCACTCATAATATCCGCTGTTTCGGGAACCAAGGAAAGTGCCCCGGTCTTCGTTTTGTATCGCTCGAGAATAAGTGTATTGTACGTTCATGAAAAGTCAGATAATCGAAAACGCAAGCAGCCCGTTCGGTCGCGGCGTGATAGCATGAGATGGAGCTACTCAGCCGAAACCGAAACTGAGTGGCCAACTAGTTCCCAGAGTGCACTGCGTGGTATTTCGCCGCGATGGGGCGCGTCGGTTTTGGAAGAAGTCCATTGAGCTGACATAATAGGTAGTTTTCGTAGATCGTTTTCGCCGTCACGCAACGCTCTCCGCAACCCGCTACGCTACCCAGAACTCTACAGCCAAGGCCAACGGCGCGCAGGCGCAGTAGCAGCTTCTTCGTTGCGGAGGGCTTAGCGGAGGGGGAAACGCAGACTACGAAAACTCCCCATTGTATCACGCTGCCCCGCACGGGACGGATCGCCCGAATCTCTTGGAATTACGCCAACACAGATCATGCTCATATGTCACTATTGGCACACCTTGTTCCGTGGTGTATCGCCACCACAGGGTTTTATTGTGTATCGAACTACGATCTCTGGTGCGACCTTCTCGCCGCTTTTCAGCAAGAGTGCGGTCCAAGCACCTCAAGCCCAGTGCGACGAAAGCGGTCCCTATGGATGACCCCTGATTTACTGAAGATGGCCGGTAGGAAGCGGACTCTGTTTTAAAAAGCTGCCCGCATGCACTGCTCTGTCTTGTTCAAGAAACTAAGCAGCTTTAAAGGCATTTGAAAACCGCCATTCACGTTGCATTTAATATCCATGCACGCATCATCACCGGAAAGATCAAGGACGATCCTCAGTTCCTTTTGGGCATTCATTAGTCGACAGCGATCCACCGCTCACAAACCGTGCATCCTATCCGGTGAACGCCGAGTAACGGCTTCCCGAGATATTGCTCAACTATTCGCCACATAGTTATCGTTGGTCTAGCGTAGCCACTCAGGTGACCTCCATGTAGACATGCTAGTTGATGAAGTGGAATACCCCACCACTGATGCTCCGCCATTCAGTCTTCTCCCGACGATCTACAAAGCGTCATCGAATGCCTCAAGTCATCACGCTCCGTCGGCCTGACCATCTTGCTCCCACCTTCCTCAAGCTGCTTTACCTTCTTGTTTCGCACCCCCTGCTGAACATGCTCCAATCATTTGCAGACAATGCTTTTGTTCCGGACACATGGAAGCTGGCTTTCATTTCTTCCATTCACAAGGGCAGAGAAAAATCAACATACTCTCCATGCAACTATCGCCTAGTGTCTGTCACGTCTAGGTGGTTCAAGGAGACGCCAGGCTCTTTAAATCGACCGCGAAATTCGGTTCCTTAACCTATCACGCTACGACTTTGTGCAGCGTTGCCCACAGATGGTGCTTTTTTTTTGTAAAGTTTGCAAAGAGCGAATTTACCTGAGGAAAAAGGAAAGAAAAAAAAAGGCTTAGCTCCTATGGAAACGCAGCGAAGCCACCGGTCTTCAAACAACACGGCGCCGTTTCGCACGGGAGACAAAAGATGGCGCAAGCGAGAGCGACGCCAACTGCCGCCAACGAACGAGCATACGACGCTGAGAGCCGGCGTCTTTAGCAGACAAGGAACTGCACTTCCTTGTTGTTACCGCGCCTGTTTTTGTTTCTGCGACTGTCGCCGCCTGCGGAACGCGCGCCGCTTTTGAGTCGAAAATATTGTTTGCTAAAGACTCCGGCTCCCGGCGCCGTATGCTCGTTCGTTCCATAGGAACTAAGCCTTTTTCTTTCTTTACTTTTTCCTCAGGTAAGTTCGCTCTTTGCAAATTTTACAAAACAAATGCACCCTCTGTGGGCAACGCTGCACAAAGTCGTAGCGTGATAGGTTAAGAAACCGAATTTTGCGGTCAATTTAAAGAGCTTGGCGTCTCCTTGAATCACCTTGTATACTGTGTCGGACGTTTCAGCGCATGATATACAGTAAGCTGCTTGAATTCTACGAAGAAAACAACGTCCTTGCTCCCACACAACACGGCTTCAGGAAAAACAGGAGCTGTGAGACGGCACTTGCTACGATCTTGTACTGCGTCAGTGACACCTTAACCGTGGTATTTCGACTGATATCATGCAACTAGATTTTAGCAATGCGTTTGACACGCTGAAACATGCTATACTCCTTTGGAAACAAGGAAGGGCAGGTGTCCACGGCACTTTGCTTTGGTGGTTAGCTCGGTTCCTTACTGGCCGCACACACCAGGTCCTCTTCCAAGGATCCCGTTCCAAGAGTTTCGCCGTCTCAGCAGGGGTACCTCAAGGCCGGTCCTTGGCCCTCCTCTGTTCTCCACGTACACCAACGCTCTTTCCCAACCTATCGACACGCACATAGTCCAATATGCTGACGACATCACTCTGCTTGCACCGACTACACCTCACGCAAGCTGTCCTAACCTTCAGCGGAACCTGTCTATAGTGCAGCAGTGGTCTGACTCAAACTGCCTTCTTCTCAACCCATCCAAGTGTGCCGTCATGCGGGTTAGTCACAGCCGCAGCTCAGGAGCCACCTTGTACGCCGTGTCGGCGATCCCTCTTACATCGGTCAGATCATTGTCAATTCTTGGTGTGACGTTCGCCCTTGACTTGACGGTATCTCTGCACGTTGCCAATGCTGTTGCCAAAGCCTGGAAGCCAGATGTATTTTGGGGTTCGTGACACGGGTTTCCAAAGCATGTGGTCGTACCACCTTCCGTGTTCTATACACCGCGCTCGTGCTTCCGCACCTCGAGTACTGTAGTGCTGTGTGGTGCCCACACCAAACATATTTGGTTGACAGCCTGGAAAGCGTGCATTGGCGTGGTACTCCGACATTCTTTACCCGCCAACACAACTCTGCGTTTCCCTACGACAGTCGGCTGAAGAGCCTCAAATGACATTTCCTGGCTGCTCGGAGAAGAGTTGCCAGGCTGGTTCTCACCTGCCGACCCCTCGAACCCTTGCTCAAAGGGACGTCTTGCAACAATCTCAAGGAGGAAAACAACGTTTTCCTCCTTGAGATCGTACACTCTAAAAAAAAAAGGAGTCGACAAGTGTCGACTCGACTCTTTTTGGAGAGTATCTGGGTTGTCGCAAACCGCACTCTCTATGAAGAGTAATGGTTACTCTTCAACGACGAGAGTCAGTTTAACTCTCTCATGCAAGTGTTCACTTAACTCTTCTATAAAGAGTCACGCCAATACTTTTGGAAGAGTCAGGACTACTCTTTTGATGTGTAAGTGTGAGAGTTAATTTCACTCCTTTGTGTAGAGTAACTATAACTCCATAAAAAGTGTTGTCTAAACTCTTTGACGAGAATTAATATCACTCCCTTGTGTAGAGTGACTATAACTCTATCAAAAGTATTGCCTAAACTCCTTGTTAACGAGTTAAGGATGCTCTCCAGGCAGAGTTACCTGCAGTCCTTCATGTAGAGTAACTTCAACTCTATTAGAGTGTTGCCTTAACTCTGTATTCAAGAGTTACGCAAACTCACCAGGAAGAGTTACCTTCACTCCATCGTGTAGAGTAACTACAACTCCATTAGAAGTGTGGCCTAAACTCTGTATTCGAGTTAAACATACTCTCCCTGAAGAGTTGATTTCACTTTTTTGTGTAGAGTTACGAGAACTCCATTAAAAGTGTTGTCTAAACTCTGTAGTAAAGAGTTAAAAAAACTCTCCAGGAGTTGCTTTCACTTGTTTGTGCAGAGTAACTACAACTCCTTTAGAAGTGTTGCTTAAACTCCGTATTAAAGAATTAAGCATGCTCTCTAGGAACAGTTGTGATGACCATTTTGAGGAGAGTAAATACAACTCCATTAGAAGTGTTGCCTACACTTTGTACTGAAGAGTTAAATATGCTCTCTAGCAAAAGTTAATGTCAAATAACAGCACACTTGTGCAGTTTGTGCGACCCCTTTTCAAAGAGTGCTTAACTCTTTAATAGAGTTAATTACTCTCCACAAAGAATTGTGTAAAGTACACCCCCGTTAGAAGTGGTGCCTAAACTCTGTATAAAAGAATTAAACACCCTCTCCAGGAAGGGGTCACACAAACTCTGCTCAATTATACTGTTATATGTTGTTTTTGATGGGTGAAATTTAACCCAGTAAAAAGTAACACAAACGCCTGAAAAGAGAATTAAAAGAACATAAGTGTAAAATTGGCTCTTTGTTAATAAAAAGTTTGCTGGGAAAAAAAAAAAACTCTACTGGCAATTGGCATTCCTAGCCAGTTGAAGTGCGACCACTGTACTTTTCTTTTTGCAATTATTTTATGAATGTCAATACCTCCCTTGATTTCACTGTAATGTGGAATACTTTTGGCCTTATTGCAGGAGTTGTGGCATACAACTAGGTACAACTCTTTTGCAAAGAACAGTAGCCCTAAAATCTAAAAGCGGCTATGTACATGTTCACAAGATGGTTGCATAGGAAATCTGGAACGGCACATAGAGCATGACCCTGTACAGAGGCTACAGGTCTTCATGAAAAGTCAGCATAGAAAGAATAAAAACAGTAGAAAAGAGCTTAATAAACCAAGACTTTAATTTCAACACATGGCAAAAAAAGCAAAACTGGCACCTAAATACCCTCTGGCTAAAAGTTTCTAACTCTGATATCAGAACCAAAGCCAAGACGGACTTTATCTTGTACTTCAAACCAATGAAGTGCCCAATCACTGCTAGTGACCGGCTTGCTTTTTGACGGTAAGATATGTCGTGGACCCAGTGCAGCGCAAGAACGAGCGCAGCACCAGCCACAATATCCGTCACCTCAAAGAAGTGGTCCTCCACCAGCAGAGTTATGGCACTTGAGTCCTCTTCATCAATGCGCATCACTGGACAGGTCGATCCGTCGTGCCCCTCCTCCTGTGAAGAATGAATGCATAAATGTAAAGTCAGCAATATTAGAAAAAGTAAACAGCTTGCTAAGTGCCCTTAGTTAATACCAGCGCACTCATTTGCAAAACAATAGACCATTTTCGAAAATCCCAGGAGCCATTTATAGGATATACTTAAATAGTTGGCTGGGACTTGCTTTTTTGCCGATTGAACAAGAGTCCAAACCGAACACTTAGGCAGCACTCATGGCTAGCTCGCTCAGCCTTAACCATCCAAAACCATTAGTACCCCTTCTGACATGAACACGTAAGAGAAAGATAATCCACCATCTCTCTCCCTCTCCCTCTATTTTCTCCTTTGTATGCAATGGCAGCCGTAAGTGGTTGCATTCATTTATGGCATCCCCAAGTTAGCACCCCCCAGGCACGTAGCCAAGGGGGAGGCCTGTGGGGCCCGGGCCCCCCTCGAAATCTTCCATTTTGCTGGGACCTCCTCTCCCCCCTCCCCCTCATACAGCATTTTGTCATGGGCGGGCCCCCCCGAAACCAAATCCTGGCTACATGCCTTGCACCTGCTGCCAGTGGCAGGGGGTACAGGGTACAAGGGGAGGGGGCAGTTGCCCCCCCCCCCTTTTTTTCGTGACATTTGAAACAATTATAGCAGACAATATGGGAGAGGGGGACAGTGTTTAGCTTCCCTGCACATCACCCCTCCACCTTCCAAACGGAAGCAATTCAGCTGGCCTCTGCCCACAGTGGCAAAAGACATAACTCTATATTTATACAGACTTTCCCGAAGGGTAGGATGAATGCAATTTCTTAACATCTGGATTTGTCCAAGTGGAATTGTCAAAATTTTATAGATTAATTAGATTGAACAATTTATTGTGTTTCGGTGCTGACTGCAAATATAATAGAGTTTATTTTACAACTTTACACAAAAAAGCTAGCAAATGCATGTAACATCTCAGTTTGGGGAGACCATTAATTAAATGTAATTTCAGCTCTACAAGGAGCTAATTTGCTATAAAGTACCATTTAACCTTAATTAAAAAAAACAATTATACACACTAAAATGCACAAATTCTAGAGAAAAAAAATATATATACAAAAGTAGCCAAACCCAAGAACACACGGGTTTTGGCTCGCAAGAGTTAAAATAATTGATAAATGAGCCACATGACAAAACAAAGAATGCATTGTGGCATGCTTAAGCTCCCACCACAACCAACACTACTAGATAGTCAGCAAGCTGTTCATGTGTGCCACTTCATCATGCAGCTAGCTGCACAATAGATGTGGCCTCTAAATTTCTCGTTGCATGTGAATGAACTGGTTGCACCACTCTGAATGCAGGTGCAGGCACATGCATTGCAAGGTCGAATTCAGAGCTCTTTTCTTTTTTTTTAATAGTAGGAAGGTGAATCTATAAATTGCTTAGGCCTACTCTCGCAACATCATAGTGACCCTGAACTTTTCATCTAACCTTAAAGAGCCTCTGAAAAAAAAAAAAAAATTCTTTTAAGCAGTTTGGTTGGTACGCACGTGTCAAAAATAAATTTTATGCGAAAAAAAGAAAAGTTTAGAGCAATATTGACGGCAAAAGATTGATCTGAAATTATGCGGGCCAAGTCCATGACATCGCAGCATGGTCATTTGCTCTTTCCACCTCAACGTGAAGGCGAAGCCGATCCACCTCTCCTCCACTTGCCCGAATGCCAAGAGAAAAGCAGTTGAAAGGAGGTGACTACTGACTTAATTGCAAGGCACCTCGCGCCATCAATATTTCTCTAAAATTTTTTCGCTTCAATTTTCTTTAACAATCAGACTTAAAAAAAAAGCTTTTTTTTCTTTTCAGGGGTTTTTAAGAACTGATAATTACAACCTTGTCATTTAAGTTCATGCCTATATTTGTATGTTGATTTGAAAACAAAAAAAAATGTTTTAAGGCTTACGGTATTTGCGGCACAGAAATATGTAGTCATAAATGTACCCATATTGCCTCCATATTATTTACAAGTTAAAAATCAAACCGCTGGCCTCCCTCTTCAGCTCACCAGTGTCAAATGTACTACTAAATTAAGTTGAATAAATACCCTGTTATACGAAAGAACATGATAGTTGAACAGAACATGACATTTGAATGAATCAAGAAATTAAAATAAATCAGTCACATAAAAAGAACTCGTTGAGTAAAGACAATTACTGGCAAAGATATTCAAATATTGCAGTGACGTAACTGACACTCCACTCGCACCCAACATGCCGAATCTTGGCAAATAAGGACTAACTCAACGCTCTGTGGCATTCGGCTTTGGACCTACTGGGAGGACTTTACTACAGCACACATCTACCACCAAGAAGACAGCCATATTTTAACAGCAAAAATGAAATAAACATGACTTCGAATACAAAAATAACCAATCATAACGCCTCTCACAGACTATTAGAATAAAAAGCACTCACAAATAGCGCTTTACAGGGCCTTGTGCCGTGGATTACACGCTAGACTCGTTGGAAATTCCTGGTCCAGAGTTAGACACAATCCAAGCTCATGGAATCCTGACAAAAAAGTACATTCACTGTAAAAAAAAAATCCGACAAATTAATAAAAATTGCCACCTAATTTTTGATGCCGGTACAATTACCGTTGTCTTCCCTAACGGTCACAGCTTTAACTATGTATTACGTGCATGAAAGTAATGAGGCCCTGCGGTTTTCCCCGTAACTTGACCCGTAGAAGCATGGCAGAAAACTATAACTGTCACTGTACTGCACATGATGCACGAATACGTGAATTGTTCCGGCATCAAAAATTAGCTGACATGTTGTTCGTAACTTGCGACGGCGAAAAACCACAACTCTCAATCACAGAGTTGCACGTGACGCACGACGAGGAGAATCGTTTAAATTAGCTGGCGTGTAGCTCGCACCTTGCAGCAACGGCCAGAGCCTATTGAACTGCTAGCTGCAGTGACTTAACAAAATGGACGTCTCAGTGAACAATAAATAGAGCATTTTACTTATATAATTATTGTTCCCCGAGACGTCCGTTTTATTAGATCATTGCAGCTAGCAGCTCAACAGGCTCTAGCCGTTGCTGCAACGTGTGGACAACACGGCAGCTAATTTTTAATGTCTGAATGATTCACGGCAGCTAATTTTTAGTGTCTGAATGATTCACGGCAGCTAATTTGTAATGTCTGAATGATTCCCGTTGTCACGCATGACGTGCAGCTCAGTGATTAAAAGTTGCAGCTTTCTGCCGCCGCAAGTTACGGACAACACGCCAACTAAGTTTTGATGCGAGAACAATTCAAATTAAATATCTAGTGCCCATGAAATGTGATTAGGTTGTGAGGCCAAGTTACTTTCAGGAGTTAACGCCAGCTGCGCATCCCAGCAGTTAGCAGGTGCCTAAACACTGTTAGAAATTTGAAGCAAGTGCACACAAGATACAGTACTAGGTAAAACATGCTCATACCTTTTTTTCTTAAGAAATAATTAGTGGGCCATTTCCAGCTTTCATGTAGAAGGCAATCTCTGATTTTCAGAGCAATGAAGTCCATATGAAGAACTACAGATCCTGGAAAAAAAAGTGGAATGTGATTAGGTTCTGAACAGAATGCAATGACAAACTAAACCTCCCGATTTCTGCAAACTATGAGTTATACATAATCGCAGTGCAGGTAACTCAGATTCATTCTGCCAGGCACTAAACAGTGAAACCAACTTGTGACTTATGCTATGAAACCATTTTAACAAGGCAAGTTTGAAAAATACTTTTCAAAATATTTCCACATTCATTGAGTTTCTTCAAGCCTGCTGTCACAAGTTAATTTCAGAGGTTACTGCCAAGTGCACCTCCCAGAGATAGGTGTTTGAACACCGTGTTAGTAAGAAATTTCAAGCAAGTGCACACAAGATGCAGCACTGAGTAAAACATGTTTGTATCTTTATTCTTGAAAAATAATTAGTGGGTTACGTCCAGCTTACAAGTGGAAGGCAATGTTTGTAACTTGCACAGCAATCAAGTCTATATGAACAACTATAGAACCTTGAAAACAAAGAAAAACAAAAAATGTGGAATGTGCTTAGGTTCTGAACAGAATGCAATGACAAACTAAACCACCCGATACCTGCAAACTATAAGTTACACGCAAGTGCACTGCAGGTGCCAGTGTGATTTGAGAAAGCTGTAAACTCAAATGAAATTGCTTGAAAGGGCCAGGACACAGAAATTAGGCAAGTTAGAATATTCATTACATGACAGCACCATAGGTTACTGGACATACAGAAAACCTTTCAGAATATTTAAAGCTCTAATAATTACAAAAATATATCTTTTAATGTTTCTGATTTTTATCTGGCGACCAGGATACCTAGGTGACCGGGCGATGCCTGAACATCGGACTCTGAGAACACCAAAGCTCATTGCAAGGGACCGCATACTAGCATTTAGCGGTGCACTGTCGAGATTGCGGGTGCAAACCGCAGTTCTCCAACACCATTGTATTATTTAAACACCAAAACCGAGTGTGTAGAGAAATGAAGGAAACCTATTACATAATAAAACAGACCATCTTGAGTGAGCCAACCTTCACTGACTCCAACGAACGGTGAGATTCATTTTCTGGATCTTGGTTAGCATGTGGAGTGTGCAATGAAGAAGAAAGAAGTGCAAAATCCATGGTGCGCCCTATGCCTGAGCGAATATAGTGCCAGCTACACATTCCAGTGAAAAATCAGTTGTTAGTCAGCACTTATCCTGGGTAGTCCTTCCTTTGAATCCATGATAAAGTGAGAGAATCAAGATTCAGTGAGGAAAGTTTTGATATTAAATGACAGAGAGATACATGATCAAAAGCCTTAGAGTAATAAAAAAATATGGCATCATATTTGGGAGTTAGTGTTCATATTAACATGAATATCATGGGTGAACTCCAGCAACTGCCTCTAGCATGATTATCTTTTACGAAACCTGTACTGATTTCGGTAGAAAAAGTTGTTAGTAGATTCCAGATGCGATACTACATGAGAAAATATTTAGAGTTCTAACAACTTGCATACAACGCTGGTTAATGATATAAGACGGTAGTTTCCCACAGAGTGACGGTCGCCACTTTTGTAGATTGGAACGACCTTCCCAACCTTCCACTCAAATGGGACGCAACCAGTGGACGAATGCTGGAAAAGTAGACTGCATATTACTGCGTGCTTAGGGGTAGCCCAGTGGGCACCGCGCCCGACTGTCATGCAGAGGTCCCGGGTTTGAATCCTGGGACGGCAGATGTTTTTATTTACTCCTAAGACGATGCTTCTAGAAAATTTGAGAAGGCCGTGGTTAATTCTAGAACAGAATGTTCTAGAAAGGAGAGTGCTATAAAAGAAGCCCCGCGTGGTCTTATGCAATCAGCTATAGCTTGTGCTAGACCCTGTTGTATTGAAGACACTCGACACCTCCGACGTGCTGTTATTTCCCTTTAATTTGGGCAAAGTTTGCCCCATTAAACGTTCACTTTTACTTCGCCTAGTCACCTATTTTTTGTGCCAATATTTCACTGGTTACATACACCCTTGGTATTTTCTTAGAATTTTTGTATTAACTGAGTCGACACCAGCCGAGCTGAAAATTTTGAGGTTATGATTAATATCGCAATTTCAGACGGTGTAATAGAAATAGGGTCCATATACCTAAAATCGACATCTGGTACAAAAGGTAAGAAGGAACTATCTCCATCAGTAAAAGTAGACTAAAAGCAATTGTTAAAAACCGTAGGACATTCAGCGTCCGAAATAACACTGCCATCATTGTTCATCAAGAGTATTGAACGGAATGACTGATATGGGAAAATAAGTTTCCAAAACGTTTTTTCGTTATTCTTTAATATTAAAGGCAGGTCAGTTCTAAAATTTGTCTTCGAAGAAATGCATACGTTCGATACAGAGTTTGGCCCAAGAGTTATATTTGGTCCAGGCTGCCTCAAAATTCGAGTTTTTGGCTACCTGAAATAGTCTTTTCTTTCTGTTGCCCTAGTTTTCAAAATCTTCCTTGTACCGGGGTTTAGTACTGTCTAACCAAATACGAACACATAGAACAAAGGCAAGAATAAATTCTAGCAGCTTTTGTTTGGAAAGTAACTAGTTGTCATTAACTGTACAATCAAAAAAAAAATTTACAACCTAATAGTCAGAAAACTTAGAGAGAGCTGTGTTAAATTTGGCAATCACTGGGCCACAATACCACTAGCAGACATTAGTTGCTAAAATGACAGCAAGCTGAAGTTTTCAAATAACCAACCTGCAGCAAAAAGATGTTCGAGTGCTCCATCACGGCTGTGGTAGTGTGCCCCGAATGACTGGCATGGGATAGCGGCTTTTGTAGAGGCATTGCAGCTGACGACCAATGTTGGCAGGCTCCTAACTTGAAATCCACCAGGACGGGTTCTGGGAGCCGCTGTTTTCCCGTGGTTGGCTCGAGAATGATCGGTTCAGTGGCGTCCCATGGTCTGTCCAGCACATGGGCCCGTCATTGCTGGCGATGCTCAGAAGTATAGACTGCAACAAAAATATGTGTGAGTGCTCCATCATGGCTGTGGTAGCATGTCCCCCACCCCTCCGATTTCAGCTTTTGGAGCAAGTGATTCTCGTTCATCACCTTGTAAAAAGCGATGCAAGTACTATAGAAAACCCCGCAGTTCCTCAAAGTGCCATAAAAACTATTTTAACTGTGATTATAATACAGACAAATATTAGCAGCAAAACGATTGTTGTTGGAAGTGTTGTAATAGAAGGGGATAGAAAGTAAAAACGCAAAATGCCTTTAAATCTCGATCCATTTACTAAATCAGTTCAGTCTTCGACAACTGCAGGGCAATAAAACTATTTTAACAGAGCGAATAAACTACACGTCACAACATGCACTTTTCCTTAAAGGGATGGTGAACCGAAATTTGGATTTCAGAAAACGATGCAGGAGCTGTAGATGGGACGCTACAATCCCTACAACACTACTCGTAAGGAGATATTTCGAGTGGACGCCCGTGGAGTCAACGTATCTGGTTTTCTCCTCACTTCGCTTCGCCCTAACAAGGCGACGAGGCGAGGAAGACGCAAGACCATTCCCTCTCCTTCTCGACTCTTCTCAAAGAAACAAGACGTCAACATATCTGTCACATGCGCCTCCTTTTTTTAAAAAATATGGTCGAGATATCGCTATATGGGCGATGTTTTGGTGTTTGTAGCATCCCGTTGCACGCTTTTGCCGCCGTGTTTTGTGGAATCCAGATTTCGGTTCAGCATCTCTTTAAAATGCAAATATAGCGAGGAAGAATCATACGAGTGTTCCTCAAGTAATTGGGGCCACTGAAACAATGATTGACACCTCACTTCCTCCCATGCAAGGCATCAATAATTGTTCCAGCCAAAGGGAAGCAACTATAAAGGGAAAGTAAAAGTTGAACACTTTTCTCGGAAAGTGGCTACTTTTCGCTCGAGCACATATTTTAATAGTTGCTTTTACGTAGGGAAATATAAGCGAGTAACTTGGGGTTCCTTAATTTCATAAAAGAACAAAATTGTTTCCGTCTATGGCAGAGTGCTCGCTCAGCTCACCGTGGGACAGAAGTGGTTTGTGTACCTCAGTCCTATTTATTATTGAGCGGTAACACATCATATTCGCTGAAAGTATTTAATAAATCATAGGGGCCAAAGCAGGTGGCACGTCATCGTCTGCTTCCAGCCAGCATCTAATGATGTCGGTGGCGCCATCCTGCGGTACGTTATGCGAGCACGGTCGTCGTTCGCCCGCTAGGCCTACCGCGAAATGAACGAACCACCGGTCCTATGACAATTTCCGGATCACGCATCCCCGCTTGCTCGCTGCAGCGCGAGTGCGGCCACCGAACAACCATCTTGCACATTGAAAAATTGTTTTTGGAACGTGGCGGAGGCTGGCGGCAGCGAGCTGAAGACATGTTTTCTACTTGTTTGTCGTCATTTGCCAAACAAGTTTTTTAAAACCCTGTGTAAGCCGTGAAACTTGCCATTGAGAAAACGTGGAAATTTTTACGGCAGCAGAGTGCCACAGGAAAAAGGCACAACTTGTCGAAAGCAGGTTTCACCGGTCTAGTCGCGTGATCAAAGCTTCCCTGGCCCACAAAAGCACTGCGTCTCTGTGCCTTCGCGTGCTCGGATGACAATAAAGAATCAACGTGTAAATGTGTTTTGCAAGTACAATGTGCGTGAAGCCATATATGTGCTTCTGGGGCAGCGTTTTACTTTACCCCGACGACTGTACAGGGTGTCACAAAAGAAAATTTACACTGTCTTTTTTACTGCAAAAATGAACTAGGCATCGTCGAACGCTCATTCTCCGCCTAAAGGTAGAGCTAGAGGTCACAACCAGATGCCAAAGTTTCAGCCCGATCCGATAAATTAATCAAAAGTTATAAGTGATTTTCTGAAAATTTCATTGGGAAAATGGTTGCCGACAGAGTTTTCAAACACATGGGGCTCTATGGCACCAGAA